ATACTATATATATATATATATATATATATATAGGCAGTGAAAACTTGATGTTTTAAGTAAAAAATACATTTAAATAGGTCTGAATTTTTTCCCCCTATATAATCTATATAGCTGATGAACAAGGGTATTCAAATGTAACATTCCAGTCAAAACATTCAGTCATTTATTTTAAAAGTTATCATACATTGCACACTAAACAGAGTAAAATCTATCAAATAATGCAATTAAGATCAAAATCCTGTTAACTCTATCGTGGTAATTCAGCCAGGGTACACACATGTCCTGACACAGTTTCCTGAGAATCCCTCAAACACACATATGCTCACACACCTGGTTGGCAGGTACAGGTGTAGTTTTGTCCTTCATCTCTCTGTGTGAGGTCAGCACAGGTGCCGTTGTTCTCGCAGGGCTTCAGGTGACATGCGTCAAACTCCTCACAGAAGATCCCAGAGTACCCATCATCACACTGGCAGTAAAATGTATCCTGTGATTCACATTTAAACACACATCATCAAATGTTCACAGAAACTCTGGACAGAAAGCACACAAACTAAACAAAGGTATAACTATTATATCAACACTTTGGAAGGAAAAACAGCAGTACACATTCAGAGGTGTAATACTGGCCTTTCAGTGCTCTAAAAAGAGAAAATAATAAGCACATAACGCGTATTATGATCTGAGGTCATTACCACAGAGGACTGGGTGATGCATTTTCCTTTCCCAGAGCATTGTGGGTCGCTGAATCCACTGCCGGGCTCCATACAGTTATTGGTTTTTACATTGAGATGCAGCCTCAAAGTGACCTCTGGACCAGAGGGTGCACCAACATGCAACACACCTACATGGAGAGAGATAAACAAAAAAGTTCATAGTTGTAATAGAGAGTAAAAAAATATTTTATATATTTTTTTTTTCAAAGAAAATGCGCGTTTAGCCAAAAGAATGGTTGCCAGGGTGTTGCTATGCAGGTGCTAATGTGTTCTGATTGATTTTAGCTTGTTTTAAGCTTGACTGTTGTGTTTTACGGAAAGAAAAACCAAAGTTAGTTATTCAAAGATGATGAATGCACAATTAACGGTTACTATAAAAAAGATGTTTAAAAGATAGAATAAAGAATAATTTTTTTTATTATTATTATTATAATTAAATAATAAACAGTATATTCACTTTACTATATTCACAGTATATTATTTACTTTATTTATTACCACTATTCACCTGTTTTGCCTGTCTTAACCCAGACACATACATCTAGAAATCTAGATTCACATTTATTATACAAAGCAAATCCATGTCATTAAATTTTAATCATATTGTGGATATTATTTATTATTTCCTTTTACACACACACACACACACACACCACCACACACACACACACACAAACAAACACACAGCAATGGCTCAAGGGCAGACATTGTTTGGCTCACAGAATCAGACAGGGTCAAATAAAAGACTCGCAACACTCATCAATGTGTCTGGAAAAATTCTGAATTGCAAACAAGTTGGAAACAGACATTATGCACACAGATGTTTCAAAGGCAAAGTCCCAATTTCAAACAAATAGTTTCATACAGTATATTCCTCCACATACACACTTACTGATGAAGTAGTTGTGTCCGAATGGCAGGGACTGGTCAGGGAGCACCAGGCCATCTGAGCTCTGCTGGAACCACATGATTGTACCATCTGCAGTGGATCCGATAATCACTTTTCCTTAATCCTGTGTCGGTTTTGTAATATCGGATCCACCGACAATGTATAACAATGCATAATTATTCCAGGGAACTAGTTGTGTTTGCATGATTTTTAAAGTAAAACATTAAATAAATATACATTTTGCATATCAGTTTTCAGACAAATAAACATACAAACAATCGCATTGTTATTGGTTATAAAAACATCTATATCGGTCAATCTCTAATACACAAGCAAACTTTTTTTTGCTTGGAACTTTCCTATGAGTTCTACTGTTTTTATAAAAAAAAAACTTCTCAAAAACCCTTTTGCATTAAGACAAAAAAATTGAACAAAGCCTTCAGTTATAAACCAACAAGAATCAGTCAGCCAATGTTGGTTTGCTGCTTTTCTTACAACACTGCTAATTAACATCATTTATGCCCTCCTGTGTTTTCCATAATCCTCTTACAAAAATGGACAGAACGGTAAACAGTGTTCGTTTGTGTGCTTCCACTAGACCCTAACAGATATGCCTTGCCATCAGCATGTCCATGACAGCATTTCTTAAAAAGACACAGTTGTTTCTTCTGGAAGGCTTTAAATAACTCAAATAACAGGCTCAAATTAATCTTCATTTACACGATCAAAGGCACAAATCCCCGACCTTCAATGTCTCTTGCTCAACCTTTAATTTGTTCTTCATTTTCCATTTTCTTCCCCTGCCCTATCTTTTCATTTAAAGCATCATCAGAGCATTAAAGCTCTGTGCTCTGCCCAAGGTTAACCTCCATTATTCACAAAAACCAACACAAGACATATCTACACAATTCATAAGGACATTGCTTCTTGCTAGATTCCTGTTATGCAAATAGAACTTTCATGTTACTATTCTGAATGCATTTAAATGAATAAAAGCACATTGTGGGTAGTTTTCAATGTTTTTTTACATGTTTGATGTTTATGTAGAACTAAATAGGGAAAGGGAATTTTACAGCAAAACTAATAACACTAAATACTGTTCTTTTGATCTTTCTATTCTTAAAAAGCGAGTAATTACATTTGTGCAAAGCTGACAGACTCCCTTGTCATTTATTTATGTTTATGTTCTCCATCTGAAAACATTAAACTTCGTCAATTTAGTTTGCCTGTTGTTAATATTATTGTTGCAGCTGCCATGCCATGTTTTTATTGTTGTGATATGAAGATGAAATGAAATAAAACGAAGTAAAACATTAAATAAATATAGGTCCTGAATATCAGTTGAATATAGAAACACGGAAATAATTGGCATCTGTATTGGTTATAAAAATGTATGAAAAAAATTATCACGATTTCTACAAAACTATTAAGCATCACAACTGTTTTCATCATTGACAATAACAATAAATGTTTCTTGAGCATTAAATCTGCTTATTAGAATGATTTCTGAAGGATCATGTGACACTGAAGACTGGAGTAATGATGCTGAAAATTCAGCTTTGATCACAGGAATAAATTACATTTTACAATATATTCAAATAGAAAATAGTTATTTAAAATTGTAATAATATTTCACAATCTTACTGTTTTTATTGTATTTTTTTTTCATTATTAAAATAAACACAGCCCTGGGGAGTATAATAGACATTTATATAATATTTATAAATCTTACTTTTAAAACTTTTAAAAATCCTAATTTTCATATATATTATAATTGAAACTTACGTAACCACCAAAGAGAACTATTAAAAATGCATAAAGCATTTTAGAAAAAAAATATATATATACACTGTATACTATATATATATATATATACAGTATATATATATAGGCAGTGAAAGCTTGATGTTTTAAGTAAAAAATACATTTAAATAGGTCTGAATTTTTTCCCCCTATATAATCTATATAGCTGATGAACAAGGGTATTCAAATGTAACATTCCAGTCAAAACATTCAGTCATTTATTTTAAAAGTTATCATACATTGCACACTAAACAGAGTAAAATCTATCAAATAATGCAATTAAGATCAAAATCCTGTTAACTCTATCGTGGTAATTCAGCCAGGGTACACACATGTCCTGACACAGTTTCCTGAGAATCCCTCAAACACACATATGCTCACACACCTGGTTGGCAGGTACAGGTGTAGTTTTGTCCTTCATCTCTCTGTGTGAGGTCAGCACAGGTGCCGTTGTTCTCGCAGGGCTTCAGGTGACATGCGTCAAACTCCTCACAGAAGATCCCAGAGTACCCATCATCACACTGGCAGTAAAATGTATCCTGTGATTCACATTTAAACACACATCATCAAATGTTCACAGAAACTCTGGACAGAAAGCACACAAACTAAACAAAGGTATAACTATTATATCAACACTTTGGAAGGAAAAACAGCAGTACACATTCAGAGGTGTAATACTGGCCTTTCAGTGCTCTAAAAAGAGAAAATAATAAGCACATAACGCGTATTATGATCTGAGGTCATTACCACAGAGGACTGGGTGATGCATTTTCCTTTTCCAGAGCATTGTGGGTCACTGAAACCACTTCCGGGCTCCATACAGTTATTGGTTTTTACATTGAGATGCAGCCTCAAAGTGACCTCTGGACCAGAGGGTGCACCAACATGCAACACACCTACATGGAGAGAGATAAACAAAAAAGTTCATAGTTGTAATAGAGAGTAAAAAAATATTTTATATATTTTTTTTTTCAAAGAAAATGCGCGTTTAGCCAAAAGAATGGTTGCCAGGGTGTTGCTATGCAGGTGCTAATGTGTTCTGATTGATTTTAGCTTGTTTTAAGCTTGACTGTTGTGTTTTACGGAAAGAAAAACCAAAGTTAGTTATTCAAAGATGATGAATGCACAATTAACGGTTACTATAAAAAAGATGTTTAAAAGATAGAATAAAGAATAATTTTTTTTATTATTATTATTATAATTAAATAATAAACAGTATATTCACTTTACTATATTCACAGTATATTATTTACTTTATTTATTACCACTATTCACCTGTTTTGCCTGTCTTAACCCAGACACATACATCTAGAAATCTAGATTCACATTTATTATACAAAGCAAATCCATGTCATTAAATTTTAATCATATTGTGGATATTATTTATTATTTCCTTTTACACACACACACACACATTTCCAAACCTGTAAGACTTTCTTTTGGCAATAGGAAACAAAATATTTTTGAATGGCCAAGGTCCAAGGGCCTAAATCTTGCTAAAAATAAATGTAACTAAATTTAAATTTAAATTTCACACAAACACACACACACACACGCGCACATGCACACACGCACGCACACACACACACAATATCCTTTTACACACACACACACACACACACCACCACACACACACACACACACAAACAAACACACAGCAATGGCTCAAGGGCAGACATTGTTTGGCTCACAGAATCAGACAGGGTCAAATAAAAGACTCGCAACACTCATCAATGTGTCTGGAAAAATTCTGAATTGCAAACAAGTTGGAAACAGACATTATGCACACAGATGTTTCAAAGGCAAAGTCCCAATTTCAAACAAATAGTTTCATACAGTATATTCCTCCACATACACACTTACTGATGAAGTAGTTGTGTCCGAATGGCAGGGACTGGTCAGGGAGCACCAGGCCATCTGAGCTCTGCTGGAACCACATGATTGTACCATCTGCAACAGAGCACTGCTCATAACCAGCCTCACTTACACGCCACAGTACAGCAGAGCCACTCACATTACCCACCAACCTAGACACACACACACACACACACAGAGAGAGAGGAAGAGATCTCATCAAAATCAGTCACATGTCAGTATGCAAATGAACTGGAGACAGGAAAAAGATGTAGCAAACTGTACAAAGGGAACATAATGGTTAAGAACAAGATACATTTGGACTTTTATTCTTCAATAAATGTGAGAGCTTAATGCATTTTATTATATTATGTTTTAATAAAGTAATATTAATATTAATATGTTTATTAATAATTTATTACATTAAATATGTATTATCATACAGAAATCATATTAAATGAATAATATTCAATAATTTACTATATTAAAGCTTTTTAAAAAATGTATATGATCTAAAATCTATATTTATCTGTTATGTTGGCCAAAAATCATATGAAAAGTACTTTGAAATGATATGGTAAAATTGTCAATGTACCCCAAAAGTGTGGCTATGGTTTAAATGTATATTTTAATTATATAATCAATCAAATATATAAAATATATAATTGATTAATTATATTTCCATCCATATTTTGATCAATTTTTATATATTATTTTTGTTTTTTAATTTTTAAATATTTTTTATATTCTTTTTGTTTTATATTTTGTTTTGCAGTAGTTCAAGACTAGAAATATCCATAAATACCACAGAAAGTAAACTAAAAACACATTAAAAGCCCACAACTCTCTTATTCTAATATGTCTTTCCAAGAAAAACAGGGCACGATAAAGTTTCTTACTTCACAGCTGTTTCCTCGGCAACCTCCATGGAAACAGTCATCATTCCGGCAGACTCACCTCCTGCGGTACTCACACATTCGGCTTCATCAGTAACCTACAACACACACACACACAAATAAGCTTCTCACAGGAGCAATCCTGCCTTCCAGACCGGACCGAACTGTCACGACACATCACGCTTACACAAACGCACACTTAATGCATGCAAACGCACACCTGCTCACCTGCTGATCCTCCCACAGTATCTCCACCACTTTCTGACCCGGTTTGGGTCGCCACGGCTCCAGTGTGGGCAGAGCTTGAGTAGTGGTGGGAACTGTGGTTGGCTGAAACACTTGAGTGGTGGTCGCAGGTGTGGCGGGTGTGGCGGGCGTGGCATGTTCCGGTACAAGGCTCTCGGCGAGGTCCCAGGTGGACTCGGACAGGTCAAAGGTCAAAGTAGGCAGGTCACACCGGACCCCGCTGTAACCCTCACTGCACTCGCACACAAACCCATCCCCCCCACCGTCCTGGCTACAGTTGCCATGGAGACAGGGGCTGCTGGCGCATGGATCTGCAAAAAACTGCACCCAATAAAAACAACACGAATGAGAAATGAAAACTGCATCATATTATCAAACATTTTAAACTGCTCCAGTCACACAAAACAGCAGCGAACAATCCAGCTTTTATTTCAGGCAAACATGTATCGACTAACAATCAGTTGGCCTGAAAAATGAGAACTGAGAGCAATTAATATACTGAGATCACAGACAAATATGAACGATAGCAATAGAGCCATCCCACTCTGCCCGCAGGAACACCTGCACCAAAATCTACATCGCTAATTCCTTTAGCTTACAATTATGTAGTGATATTGATCCAATTACTCTAATTATGCTCAGTTTCCTTTGGCAGGGACATGCCTTCTTCCCAAGAGATGAAGTAGGACTTATATGTGCCATATTTGTGCATATGTTCATCTGTAAACTATTTATACTCCATATTATGTGTGTTGGCATTACATAAGTAATCTAACATAAAATGCTTCTACTGGATAACAGATGCACACAAACCCATCCCCCCCACCGTCCTGGCTACAGTTGCCATGGAGACAGGGGCTGCTGGCGCATGGATCTGCAAAAAACTGCACCCAATAAAAACAACACGAATGAGAAATGAAAACTGCATCATATTATCAAACATTTTAAACTGCTCCAGTCACACAAAACAGCAGCGAACAATCCAGCTTTTATTTCAGGCAAACATCGACTAACAATCAGTTGGCCTGAAGAATGAGAACTGAGAGCAATTAATATACTGAGATCACAGACAAATATGAACGATAGCAATAGAGCCATCCCACTCTGCCCGCAGGAACACCTGCACCAAAATCTACATCGCTAATTCCTTTAGCTTACAATTATGTAGTGATATTGATCCAATTACTCTAATTATGCTCAGTTTCCTTTGGCAGGGACATGCCTTCTTCCCAAGAGATGAAGTAGGACTTATATGTGCCATATTTGTGCATATGTTCATCCGTAAACTATTTATACTCCATATTATGTGTGTTGGCATTACATAAGTAATCTAACATAAAATGCTTCTACTGGATAACAGATGATATCAAAGAATATCAACAACATACTGTTTGGCTCAGGTAAAATAACTTCTCCTAATAAAATAACAAATACATGTTAGTAATTATTTAAAAATACACATTAAAATGTTATATTACAAATTACTTCGCTGTAAAATCTACAAACCAAGGTTCATTGGAAAAACATACCTATGGCAAAATGATATTATGTTTTGTGTCACTTTAAAAGTGAAATGTCCAGTGAGTGGCGCTAAAAGCATGTGTCTGAAACAGATAGAAGTGAATCTGGCACTCTTTTGTTACAATGGTTGTTGTACATATTCAGAAATTAAATGTTCGTTGAGTGGCGCTAAAATGTTAATGCTCTATCACATTTGCAAATGACGTACCACTTACATTAAACCCAACCCCAAACCTAACCGATAGTGTTAACAAAAGCAAATGTGACATTTGCCGACACAATTATGCCATTTCAGCTTACTTTTATCATGAATTGTGTTTCACAGGACTCCCAAGTGCTTTGTTATCATAAATCTAATGCTTTACCAGGTGTGCTAACAAGCAAGTTTACTTCATCAGAAATGCCATACATATGGAGTAAAGCCCAATTTATACTTCTGCGTCGAACCTACGCCATAGCTTACGGTAGACACTAATGAAAACAAAGCATGATGGGAAATGGAGTCCATGAACAGAACAGGCAGGAACACAAAACAGGAATGCCCTCTAAAGCCTCACAGTGGTGCAGGCAACTGGGCGTGACATAGTCCCCCCTCTAAGGTCGGATTCC